ATGCTGCAATTTTCCCTGTTAATCGCTGTACTTCGCGCATCGTTTTAGGTGACGACATTTCTATGAAAGCTGCTATCTGTTTTGGATTGGCTTATATTCCTCTTTCAGTTGCTAAGTAACCAAGGAACTCGCCAGAGAGAGATTCGAAAGTGCACCTAGCTGGGTTTAGTTTCATGTCGTACTTGTTGAGAATGATGAAACATTCTCGTAGTTGGGGGACGTGGTGTTCTTCTTTTAAATATTTTACCAGCATCTCGTTTATATAGACTTCCATGTTTTTACCAAGCTGATCGGCAAATATTTTGTTAGCGAGCCGCTAGTACGTAGCTCCCACATTTTTTAGTTGAAGGGTATCGCTTTATAACAGTATGTACTGTGGTCTGTTATAAAGCATGTTTTCTCTTGGTCTTCCGGGTTCATGAAAATTTGGTTGTACCCTGAGAAAGTGTTCATAAAGGACATTATTGGTACCTTCCATGGCTTCCACTAGTCGATCTATGTGAGGAAGAGGGGAGCTATCTTTTGGGCAAACTTTATTTGGATCGATAAAATCGACGCATACTCTCCACATTCCATTTTTATTTTTGAATATGATTGGGTTAGAAGGCCAATCAGGATATTTTAGCAGACGGTCTACTTCACCGTTTATGGCTTGGGTTCTTTCTGGTCCAAGCTTCTGATACTTATGTTTTATTGGTTTGAACGTCGAACATGCGTTTAGCTCATGAGAGGTTGTGTCTATATTGATTCCTTTCATGTCAGTTGTGGACCATGCGAACAATTCGAGGTTCTCTTTCAAGAAAGTGAGGAGCTCACTCTTTATAGAGTTAGGGAGGTCTGCTCCAAGCCTATGCTTGGGTCATTTTTTCGTTTTGATTATTGCTCGGCGAGCTCGTATTATTTCTGAATTGCTATACGAGGGACTGTTTCATCTGTTTGTACCTGGCCATGTAGAAACTACATGATGTTTTCTGGCTACAGTAAATGGTATTTATGCCTTTGGGTGTTGGGAATTTAACACATTGGTGGTAGGTTGAAGGAATAGCCTTCATGTCGTAGAGCCATGGTCTTCCCAGTATGGTATTGTAAGGTGTCGAGTGGTCTACTGCAACAAAATCAATCATTTGTCAAACTATGTCAGCTATGACGGGGACAAGGACATAGCCCAAGAAGTATGTTGTTTCCCCGGCGAAGTCAACAAGGGGAGTCCCATCTTCTATGAGCTTGAAATCGTTGAATTCCATCTTTTTGAATGCATCATAGAAGAGGACGTCTATCGAGCTACCGGTATCAATCATGATTCTAGATAGCTCGATATCCCCGACGATGAGGCGTATTAATGAGGGGTCATCGTTCGGTTTGTCTAGTTTGTATGTTTTGCTTTCTGGAAAAGTGATCTCGTGGTCGGGTCCTTGTAGAGGAGCTTCGTTCCGAGTATCGGTTTCCATTTTTTTTAGAAGCTTTGATAAAGTTCACCGAATCTTGGCATAGCTTAAGCCGCCAAAGATGAAGTATATGCGTTTTAAGGGGAGGATCTCAACCCTTACTCCTCCGAAAAGATGAGGCTTGCTGAAGCAAGTTCTCTGAGCTTTTCTCGGTGCAGGAGGTGGTGTTATTACTGACTTCTTCGAGCCATTGCATATGGTGAGCTATTTGAATATGAAGTCTATTCTTTTTCAGGGAGCTGGGGGAGTTGAATCCGGATTTTATTCCTCGTTGGGTAGCTCTTTTTTCTTAGAAGAGGACCCTCCATCAGCCCACTCCTTTTCTTCAAAGCTGATTTTGTAGGTTTAGGATTGCTTTTTGGCGAGGAGGTTTCTTCCTCGGGCTCAGCATCAATGCTCTTTTCTAACGCATATATTTTGGTGAGGAGGTTTCTTCCTCGGGCTCAGCATCAACGCTCTTTTCTAACGCATATATTTTGGCGAGTAGCCTAATTCGAGTTAATGGTCGCAATAATTTTTTTAGTGTTGAACTCGTTTTTATCAGACGACTTCTTGTTTTCCACCATATAGGTTCTTCAAACTTTTGATGCGTCTTTTCTGATTTTCCTTTTTGGGGCTGGCGAGCTAGGTAAAGCTCGTTCTTGTTCGAGTTCTGCTTCGAGTTGAGCGGTTTCTTTCTCTAGGAGGATAAAGGCTCACGAAAGATGTAGTGCATCGTTGAAAGAGACTAGGGCACGAATAGTGAGCTCCTTACTGAACTCAGATAGGATTCATAGTCCTCTTATTAATGCCACTAATGCTACATCGTCGTTTGGGTTTGATCTTTTGGATTTGATCTGCTAAATCGTCCAATGTATGAAAGCAAGGTTTCAGTCTATCATTGCTTAATAGAAAATAGAGCAGCTTCAGTGGTTTTAGTTCCGATGAATACTGAGTATTGCTTTAGGAAATCTGTTATTAGCTTGTTGAATTTTTCTATTGAGTTTGCTTCATGTCCAGAAATTCATTCTAAAGCCGGTTCATTTAGGTTTTTGGCGAATAGTCTATAATATGCAGGTTTCTACCTCTTCATATGTTAGATGAGCTCGGGTTATCGCGTGTTGGAATGTTCTGATACGCGATTTTGGATCTGTTGTTCCAGAAAATTCTGAAAACTTCATTTTTCCAGTGTCACATATTCTAGCGTTAGCTATATTGTTCGTGAAAGGTGTTCGTCGTGTCTCTTCGATTACACGATCATCTTCCTGGGCCGAACTAGTTACCATATGAACTCGAGAGTTCAGATGTGAGAACTATGCGTTAGTATGTTCGACGTATCTCCAGAAAAGGTCGTTCTCGATTGTATAAGGGTCGTCGACTATTGGTTAGAAAACCGGTGTCTAGTGACCAAAATAAGTCTGATCTTTTTTTGCAAACGCATAAGATTGCGGTTTGCAATCGAACTAAGTTCGAGTGTTAAAGCTCAAGCTCGCTTCCAATGCAAGGTTGGGAGCTCGAGTAGAAAGCTGACGCCCCTAGCCATCTCGGTTTGCTATTAACGCCCGAAGGTGGAGGAGGTAAGTCTGAGGTGGTAAGGTTTGGGGTTCCGGTGATGATTGGGTTTGGTGTAGTCGAACTATAAGGAGCGGAGGCAGTCACAGGAGATGCTGTCAGAATAGTTCCTGCGTTTAGCGGCGTGGCATGCATTTTCGACGTTCCTGGTGGTAAGATCACAGGTGTGAAATCCTGACGTGTTTGGGGAGGTGGACTTAAAAAGATTCCTCTCCTGTCTGGGTATTGTGTCCAACCTCTGGGAGCGTTGAGCTCATCAAGACAGGCGTTTATGCGCCGCTCTTATTTATAGAGTCGTGCCTCTAGGTTTCGGGTAGCCAAATCGTGGTTTCGATTAGCCACCTACTGATTTTGGAAGCGACCTACCAATAGATAAAGCATCACACGGATTTCTGCCTACTTTTCAGCTTCACATCTTGAAGTGGTAAAGCTTGTTGGCAATGATGTTTGTGTCAGACCATATCTGCTCGCGGGAGCTGATGGATCTTCAGATCTGACCCATACTCGATTGTCGGTGAGTAACGTCAGGTTTGGTAGACCTGAACTCGCTTCTGGCACAGGAGCTCTCGGGTTGGTTGCTACTGGTGCTGCTGGAATCGACGACAAGGTCAATCCAGCTGTCTGGGTTTGACCCGATGATTGAGTATTTGCTCTGTTACTTCCTGACAAATTTTAATGATCACATGTTCAGAGTTAGCAACAGAGGATGTAACAGTAACAGTTGTTTGTGTTGAGACATGATCCATTTTATTTAATGAATTTTTGATCTGACTCTTGAGATAAAACAATCTATAATATTTCCCACAGATGGCGTTAAATGTGAGATCCGAAACTCACACCAAAGTCTGATGATAATTTTTTAGTAGGAAGAAAAGACTAGATCTTATATGAGTCAAAAATGAAATGTAAACTAGAAAACGAGCTGGACTTTATATTAATCTGCTGATCAAATGATGAAAAATACAATAGATCTCGAGTGAGATGTAAAAGTGCGAACTGATATTCTTAAGTTACCATGAAAGTGTACTTGTAAAGTAGAAAGTGTACTGAATGGCTGTGTCCCTCATCTCAATCCTACTCCTCTTTTATATCTCCTTCTCTTTAGTTTGACCTACCGAATATTTTGGTATATCTTAACCCACGATCTCCATAAATCCCGAACCAAACTATAGATGAGACCGAATAAATATGTTAACCAATTCTCCACCGAACTTATAATTTTATGATCGAGCTAAAAAAGAATTGAGTTATATTGTCCTAATAGCTTGTCAACAGATAATGTGAGCTTCGAATTTTGAATACTAATTCTATTATTTCATAGGTTTTTTTAGGTGGATCGAATTTGTGACAAATCCGACACTAATGAAGATTGATAATAAATTTATGAACTAATAAAAATCTAAACAATATAAATGTATACTGTTTGCTTCATACATAATTTACTTATCTTAGAATGTTTAGTTGATAAAAAAAGATATCATAAACAGATCAAGTGATATGATGCGAGTCACATGTAACATCATGTACAAAAGTTACATATTGGGCCTTTGGGAAGTTGTAATGGGCCGTCATAATAATGATTTCAAAATTACCTTCTTCAAAAACGTGACCCACAGAAAAGACAAATTTGATAAGAACATTTGTCAGTTAACCTGTTTCTATGGATATTTCTAAGTTCTAACAAATCCGACTAATCACATCGGTTTAATTTTATTGTTCAGAATAAGCATAAAATTGTCTTATTCAAAATCAAATCGTCACTTGTTCCACACAGTTTTTAATTTTCCTATGATACTTTGACGATTCTACGAGAATATGATAAAATTTTGAAAGTGATGTTAACACAGATAATCGGATTTTATCATCAATATTATTCAATGGTAGCCGAATCTAAACTCGGAAGCAGAAACACAAGATCCAAACGAAGAACACAAAAAAAACACACCAGAAGAAAGAAAACACCACATAGCTACCATTGGATCAATCTCTCTTTCTTTCTCAGATCTAAGAAAGCTGACCACAATCAGCGATCACCACAGGCTGTTTAGTCTTCCCACTGTCAGATCCAACCTTCTCAATGTTCCTAACCACTTCCATACCTTCAACGACTTGGCCGAAGACGACGTGCTTACCATTGAGCCACTCCGTCTTCTCAGTACAGATGAAAAACTGAGATCCGTTGGTGTTGGCACCAGCGTTAGCCATGGAGAGGATACCTGGACCGGTATGCTTCCTGGTAAAGTTCTCGTCCTTAAACTTCATGCCGTAGATCGACTCGCCTCCGGTTCCGTTCCCGGCGGTGAAATCTCCTCCTTGGCACATGAATTTAGGGATCACACGGTGGAAGGCCGATCCCTTGTAGTGGAGTGGCTTCCCGGACTTTCCGATTCCTTTCTCTCCGGTGCAGAGAGCACGGAAATTATCCGCCGTCAATGGGGTCGTGTCGGCGTAAAGCTCCATCACGATCCTACCGGCTGGTGCGCCGCCGACGGTCATGTCGAAGAAAACTTTAGGGTTCACCATTTTTTTCGGATCGGAGAAAATTTGTGAGAGTTAGTGAGAGAGATTAGGGTTTTTGGTGCGATTTAGCTTAGAGGTTACACAGAGGGATTGATATAGAGAGAGGATTCTAGGTTCCTAGCGATGGGATATTTAAAAGGAAATACTTTAGTGACCGTTGATTTGTACACGTGTAGTGATCTTGAAGCGTTTGGGTTAACTGTGGTTAGGTTGAATCTGACTAGGGTTCAAAGTTGCGTGGATCCAAGGCAGAGAATATTATGTTTCCACTTTTTACTGGATAGAATCATGAATTGTGGATTCATGATGGACGATACCGTTTCATTAAAACTGGGCCAAATATCGGATTTAAAGGCCCATTGAGCTTGCGAAATTCACCATGATTAAAAAGCTTGCTATATCTTTTTTTAATAGGCCCAATTCTCCGAAGTTAACTTCTTAAGATAGCAAATCAATTACTGCCACCTCATCGTTCCTCAGCTTCATCTTCTTCTCTTCTTCTTCATGTTCATGAATTTTGGAACTTTTTATTCCCAAGTTGGAATTGTGTTTTTGAACAAAAAAAAAATTAACAAATATAACAAAATTGTTTGCTTGTAACATCTGCTACAGAAATAGAAAAAGCATTAAAAATTCTGTGAAGTTACAAGTTACAAAGGAAAGAGGATCTCTACCAACAAACTCTCTCTCTATCTGTAAAACGTTAGTATCATTGTTCGTGTGCTCTTGGTTTTACAAGTCCCCATAGATATACAGACAAAGCGCTGTGAGATTTGCTCTAAATCTACTTCTTCTTCTTTGACTTGCTCGAAGACTGAGTGTACGCAGTACCCTGCAAAAGCAAATGTATCAATTCCAAAACACTCAATAATGCTAAATTATGGAGAAGTAATAAGATCTTGTCTATGTAAAAGTAAGTACCTCAAGCCATTCATCAAGAGAAGCATCTTTCGTTGCGGTTCCAACTTCAACTTTTGATGCTCTCTTTGTTTTCTTCTGCGCAAGGAAATGACTCGGTTAGGCTATCACTCACATTCCACAAGAAAATGTATAAGGCGACGTTTCATGTACCTTGGTCATATGCTTCAAACCATTTTGGATATAGATGACAAGAAGAACGATAAGCGAGATAAGCAGGCCGCTAAGGAAGACTGACTCCATCCTGAAGAGAGGACCGTCTTCAACAACTTCGATGGTTCCATTGTAAAATGTGCTTTGGTATGGCTTACCATCTATCTCATAGATGATGGTGCCAACAAGATCAAAAGCACCCGCCTGCACAAAGAAAATGGTTAAGCTCGGATACATCTCTCTGTCTTTTATTATCTGTAACTAAAAAAAAACTATATGATCATCAAATATACCTGTAGGAACTTGCTGACAGCAAATACATATGGAAACGTAGCTTGAGCAGAAGTTGGCACAGATGCGTTCCCGAAGCTCTACACATAGAAGATAACAACATAAGGAGCAAGTGCATAAAAACATTATAAGTTTCTAATTCTAGAAATGAGGAAATGGAATAAAGCTACGGCATAGAGAGACGATCAAAGAAAATAGCTAGAGAGAGACGCTTTTTTCTTGAACTTTGAACAAGATTAAAAAGCTAGAGAGAGAAAGAGACGTTTCTTGAATCTTGAAACAGGGAAGTAACAAGTTAAGGAATTGGTATAGAAACAAATGTTAGAGAACAGAGAATCAAGATCACTAAAATTTACCAGAGCGGTGAGATTTTGAACCAGAGGCTTCTGATCAAAAGGAAGATGTAAACTGCCTTTGACCGCAACGATATCTACATTCGATTGACCTATTCATATGATCCAACAGCAAATTTAGATACTTTGAGCTAATTTCAAGTAATCAGTTTGATAAAATCATTTTCCTCACCATCATTTTTCATTCCAACAAGCAGCTCAGTTTCATGTCCAGCTTTAATTACTGCAGAAATCAGACGAATTCAGGATTAGCATCCAAAATTGGGAAGAACTAGAACCCTAATTTTGGAAATTCAGAATCAGAAACAGGAAAAAGATCTTTACTTTTTGCACTGTTTTTGGGGAAAATGCAAAGGGTTTCGATTCCAGGAGCTGAGCTAAGTGCCAAGCCAAACACATCCTCTGCATCACTCTCTTCTTCTCCAGCATCGGAAACTTCAAACCCAGAATCTTCCGAATCCGACTCGCACAAAGCAACTAGAGCAACACACAAGTTTCGAATTTAATCAACAAACATGAAACAAATCTCATGTGAGCTGAAACAACGCGAGATAGATATAGCATCAGCGACAAGAAACATAATGGAATCAGCAGTAATCAGTAGATCTATGTTAGCAATGGAGGAGCAGAGAAAAGTGTTAAAAGTTAGAACCTTGGAGGAAAGGTGAGGCAAGGAGAAGGAAGGCGAGGAAGAGAAGTCTAATACTCGTAGTCATGATGGGTTTTTGAGAAAGTTCGAATTTTGATCGTCGTGCTCTGAAGTAGAAGAAGGCGAAGAAAGCAAGAAGACGAGAAAGGTGTTTTGGTATTTGACGTGTTTTCCCCTTTTTTTAATGCCGTTTCACAGGCGCTGACGGTGACGAAGAAGAACAACGACGACTTCAGATTGGATTCTTCAAAACGACAACGTTTCAGAGACAATATAGAAACACACATCCTCTCGTCTCATAGGTGTCACAAAACAATTTTTCCGAAGCTCATCGAAATCACAAATTTCAAGTCTTCATGAAATAATAAATATGACAAGTTTGAAAATCGATTTGGGTTTTTTTTTTGAGCAAAACGAATTTCTGAAGCCGGTGTGAACTTATGAAAAAAACAGGGGAATATGTATAAATTATAGAATGGAGTATATATGTAGTGTAAGTGAGTGAATAATATAGTTTTGTAGGTTTCGAGTGGTTGACAAAACTATTTATTAATTTTTTATATCAAAAGATATGTATTTCTTTCTATTCTTGAGAGATGTGATTTTTGCATGTTATTAGAGGCAAAACAGATCAAAAATAATCTAAAATGGTGTAAGTAAAACTATTCGTAGTTGGTTTATATATATATATATATATATATATATATATATATTGTAGATAGTAGGGTTGTATCGTGAATCTTTGTGAAATTTGTAGAAAATGTGGAATTTGTAAAAAAAGATAAATCATCCTTATAATTATCTAATATTTTAGACAAAAAAAAAATTTACAGATCTCTGAGTTAGTCTCACACTGTCAAAATAAATATAGCCATAGATAGACATATTTTCTGAAGTTTCTTTAGCATTGAAGTCATTTTTGTATAATGTGTGCTACACTGCTATTTACTATTCACTTATATCGTCGAGATGAATAAAAGAAACAATTAATGACAGTAGTTATCAATAGGCCTTGTCTAGAACTTTGGAAGCCTAAGGGAATGAAAAAGAAATGTGAATTGTATAAAGCATGCGTAGTATATAAAATTCAAATATTGTTTTGTAAGATGTTAGAGATGATTAACACTATTTTCTCAATTCACGAAACACAATTTTAAACTATAAATAAAATAGAGCTAAAAATACATATTTTACCAATATAGAAAATGAAAAATCTAAAAGGACCTATATGTTTGATTTCGTGTGTTCTACTTAAAAGTATTGTTACTTGTCTTCCAGTGGTCTAAGAAAATGGACCTACATGTTGAGAAAAAGTTTTGTTGAGAAAAAGTTTTCGTTACCTGTTGCATCTCCCAATGGAATCATCTTATCTATGAAGAGTGTCTTGATAAACTTAGTGAAGAAATGATGAAGAGCTTGGAATCACAGAAAGATCTTTCACTCTTGGCATGTACAAGGAGTGTAGTACATGTAGATACTACTATTTTGAAACTCTTCCCTGTATGTTTCTGTATGCTTTTTTCTTTTAAGTTTTGATGATATGTGTTGTCTTGGACAGGTTATTTGTTGATCTTCCTAAAGCTCAGACAAGAGCCCAAAGAAAATCTCGAAGAAGAAGGAGATCAAAATATTTAAAGATGTGGATATACAGATCTAGAGATCAAAATATTTAAAGATGTGGATATACATATCTGGTGCAAAACTCACTTAGACCAACCCCAATGCAGATCTGCAGGGGTTTAATAATAAGTTTTTAGTAATATAACTGAATTAAAATATTTTATAGAGTGTCTAATCTTTTAGGTGAGGGTCTAAAATAGGATCTATTTTCTTAGTTTAAGAACAGACATGTTAATGAAAAAAAAAAAAAATAACGCAAGAAAAAAAAAATCTATCAAATATTAATAAATTAATCATTAAGACTTCATACCAATGATGTTACTATTGGAGTTACTCTTATGGGTTTAACTTGAAGGTGTTCTGTTTTATTTCTATGTTAAGTTTATAATAACTTAACACAAAAAATCTACAAATTTTATATTAACTTAGTTTAGGAAAGCCTAAGACGAATGAAAAAGAAATGAGAATTGTATAAAGCATGCATAGTATATAAAATTCAAATATTGTTTTGTAAGATGTTAGAAATGATTAACACTATTTTCTCAATTTATGAAACACAATTTTAAACTATAAATAAAATAGAACTAAAAATACATATTTTACCAATATAGAAAATACATATTTTACCAATTAAATGGGTCGATCGCATCAGACCCATCTTGTGTTTCCTGTTTTGTTTCCGTTCTAAAGTAACTTATCAAATTAAAGAGGCAAAATCTTGATGCAAAGTGGCTTGAGAGACAAAGAGTAAAAGAGGGTTTCTATTTATAATAGCGATGTGAATGTGATCATGAGTTCAACAGAAAATCTCGTTTCACAATTGATGAGTGGTTCATTTATGATCAAAAGGAGATATATAATATATATATATCATCAAGATGGGAAATTATTTAGATGTAAAATAAAATACATTAAATAAAAAATAACAATAATGTAGTATAAAACCCATAACTTGTAAGCTGTTCGGGTCATTTCGTCATTCATATGTGATCTGTTGTAATATAAATACAAGATATGGA